AGGATAAGAATAATGACTTGTTAAATAAAAGTGATATAAAGTCAGTTCGGATGTATAAGTAACATGAGAGATGATCAGTAAATGACAACATGATGGATCTTAGGATCAGTCATATTCATAATTATAACAAACAAAAACTGAATCGAAAAAATAGTCTACGGAGTGAAATAATCAGGCGCTGTAACAAAATAACCGCGGACAAAATAATTAGATGACAAAATATTCTCAAAATCGTGTTGTGCCCTTTTAACATGGTTTTTATGTGTATTTATTCGACATTAGACCAACACATGAGATTGTTGCCATGTTTTGCCCTTTCTAACATGGATTTTTTGTATGTTTATCAAAGAATATTTTTTTCCAAAATATTTTGTCCGTGGTTATTTTGTCCGCGGTTATTTTGTCGTCCGGTTATTTTGTCGCGGTTATTTTGTCCGCGGATATTTTGTCGCGTCACCAAATAATCGATACTCAAATGGTTGTATTTCACGGTATGTTGTAATAAATTATATTGCGTAATGAAAAGGATGGAAGAAAAAGATTTCAGTCGAGGGTGAGTGTTGTAGATAGAAAACATTATCCATAGTCTGGAAAAACGGTTTCATTCCATGCCACACGCTCTATTTTTTCTTTCGTATTACTTTGTGGAGTAAAACTACCGGCTGCGAAACGTTAAACACTATTTTGACACTCGGATAATATTGATAAATTGATAGACAGACTAGTAATATATCAAAAAATATAGATACTTTTATTGTACTCAATAATATGTTTCGGGGTGAAATCTACTCATACACTGAAGAAAAAAAATCTGGAAAACCGTTTACCTTGCAGGTCATCCTCGGAATTTTCCGCTACGTACAAAACGCTTGAGAAATTATCTATTTTGGTTTTGAGCTCTTCAAGCTCAAAAACACAATTTTTATTCTTTTTCGAGCTTCGAGTTCGAAATTCTATAGTCTGTGAATAGTTTAGGAAAGAATAAAATAAAATTGATCAATGTCGCGGATCTGAATATATTGGAATATATTGTGTGCAAGATCTTAAGTAGTTTTAAACTCATATATTAAGCAGGCGACATAGAATAAAACATGAATTTATTCGTTCTCATATTCGAAAACTAATAGCACATGAAAATAAAAAGAATAAAATCTAAAGGAGAACAAAATGATAAAAAAGTTGAAGAAATTGAGCAAATAATCTTCTGACATTTCCGCTTCCTTTTAACTGAAAACTGAAAGTAATTTTTCAGTTTAAGTGTTTTTAGATTTTTTTCGTGATCTATTAATACGAATGAAATGCTAGTAAACAAGATCATGTCAAATGGATCCCCCATTTTTTACTTGATCATAAAAAGAAACTCTATATCATCTCTATACTCGATCATAAAAATTAAGTCTATATATTTTTTTCTCAAGTACTATCGAAAATTAATCCCCCAAACGATTAAAATATATATTTTCAAAATTTTCATTTTAATTAAAACTTTCAAATTTTTTTCCTTCAAACTTCTATCCAGTCTTAAAATGTTAAGCCCGGACTGATCATAAAATTACGATAATTATTATTTTTTTTAATAAGAAAAAAATATTTTTTCTATTATAAAAAAATAATTAAAATTCTATAAACGTCGAAATTTACTGAAATTTCATTATCAAACACCGAAGAATATCTGACTACTTCTTTTTCTTGAAAACCAATTACGATAGAAATCTTAATCTTTCAGGGTTTCATTATTTAATTATTTTGATACTGCGAATAGAATGTCCATCGGGGAATATTTTTACACTTTAATCTACCATATGTATATGTATACGTAGTAACTTCTTTTGGGAGAAATTAAACAATTTACGTGCTCGGAGAGATAATCTAACTTTTATACAAATACGATTTTCTCAATACAAGAATGTTCCCAAAATTTTATGAAATTTCATCTTCTACTTATTTATTTTTATTTAAAAAATAACATTTAATAATTGCATAATAAATAATAATTGCTAAAATTATTTTTCAGTTATTATGAATTTCAATAATCACAAGCTTAATATGCGCGCTTACATACCAATTGGTGTGAGAATATAGTTGAAATAATGACACTAAATTCCTTTGAAATATGTTATGTTCACTTATACGATTTTGTGGTAAGTCCGCACAGTGCTGCAAATAACTTAGAGTATTCCAGAGGGACATCATTGTGTCCCGTATAATTAATTAAAATTCCATAAATCTCTACATACTTTAACTTAGTCACTTAACAATGACTGTGATGTCACAGTAGTTAAATATTATATCTTTGCTGTCGTATATTTAATGCTTCATTGCTTTAATTTTACAAAGTAATGAATTAGAGCATCATTTTTCCCCATTTGTAAACATTAAGTCTTCTCACGTTTCAATCGTTTAATAGCACTTGATAGTCAATTGGTATGCCAACTACAAATTTAAAAATAACCTCTAACTAATTGCAGCGCAATTAATTCTAGGTCGGTAATATTTGGTTTAAAGATTTTATTTGCATAAGCTGTCGTCGAAATTTGAATATTGGTCGATAATTGAATAAATGTAAAAAGTTTCAATCCAGTTAGTAACTGAAACTAAAGTTTACTTTTTTTTCTCCATTTATCTTATCTTACATAATTTTGTAAAAAATTTGATAGGGTAAAAAATTGCAACTTAAATGATTAATCATAAAATTTTCGTTTTATACTGAACTTTTTACAATTACAATATTTTAAACAAACATTACTTAAAATATCAAATATTTTTTTATGTTAGTTGGGAATTATAAAAAACAATAGATTTATTTAAGTTAGACAACGGTAAATTAAAATATTAATTATAAATTATAACAATAATTATTTACGATACTTACATTTATTTACAAGTTACAATTTATCATATTACAAAATATTTTATAATAACAATAAAAATATTTCAATAATAATTACAATATTAATACAATTTGGTAATTAATAATTATATTTCGTTGCTTTTAAAATAGGATGGCTCAAAAAAATAAGTGCTCTTTTTTTTTTACTATCCTATAAATATATGTCAGTTCATTATGTGCTAAGAGTCCAAAATCAGCTCAATTAAAAAATTTTGAGAAAATCTTTTATTTTATTGAGAAAAAAAATTTTTATTTTTGAATTAAAAGAAATTAAAAAATTTATTTTTTTTCTCTTAAGTTCACAAAACATGACATTTGGAAATTTTTGTAATTCATTTGTACAGAGTGAAACAAAAAACGAAAATAGCCAAAAATTTTTAGCAAAGTTGAAAGTAATGATTGATTTGGCAGAGAAGTATTGTCATTAGTTATTCATTATTTTTACCAGAATTAAAATTATACGGTAACATATTTTTTACGTATATTTTACGTAAAATAACAGAACAGTTTTATGTAGATAAGTCGTAAAAACCTTAATATAACCGGGACATAATCTTTATTATATGACATTAATGTGATGTAAGAAAACATTACTACTCGTGATGTTGTTTTGAATTCATGTCGGAGTGTAAATAATATGCTAAATTTACTGTGCACAAGAAAGGTAGTTATGTTACGTAAATATTAGATAACAAAGGCCACTGACTGTAATATTGCAATTTTGATCGCATTTATGTAAAATTTACATCAACTTTTAAGATGTCACTGTTCCTTAGATGTGCTATTACAGTGACATTAATGTTTTCATTAGGATACTGAATACTCGAAAATTTTGAGCAACCTTAAAAAATTCTTCAATCCAGCTTTAATTTTTTACTGTGTTTTTTAACGATTTAAAGACCAAAATATCTTTCTTCAAGAATATCCTATCGGGGATATGCTCTCAAAAAATATTAATGTGAAAAATCTGTTGAAGTATTCTTTCTAAGTATATTTTAGTTCAAAGATATTTTTATATATAGTAAAATCTAAGCATTTAATCTTTAAAACTTAGTAAATAAAACTAACATATTTTCATAGGAATAAGCAAGAAAAAAATATTTGGTTTTTTGAGACATCTTATTCTATATATACTATGTACAATACAATATATAAATCTATAAAAATTAAAATTATATTTGGAAACTCATTCTTATTACTCTCTCGAAAACCATATATGATATAGTTCTCAAAGTAAGCATATTTTTTGGCATATGGAGTAATAAAATAAAAAAAGTACTTTTGAATTTAAATAAACCATGTAACTGAAGTTGCGACCGATCAGCTGAACGCTAATATACATAGATATGTAATATACATAGCCAATTTCACAGCCTCTTAGATAATGCTCGATACATTTTAACCCTCGGAAAAAAATTAACGACTATCTGGAGTCACTCTCCTTCCACATTCTCATCATTTGAACCCCTTGCGATTGTCGAAACTGCTAGAAATTCCAGCTGGAGAATTTATAAAGCTCCTAAAAATTCTGAGTACACTTTATCCCGCCAAAAAAAATTTTAACCACACTTTGTAATGTGTACTCAGAATTTTCCAGCTGGAACCTCCAGAGGCTTTGACAGTCGGAGGTGGTTGAAACAAAAACAATAAAATTTGAAGGTGACTCCAGACAGGCTTGAATTTTTTTTTGCGCGGTAAAGTGTGCTCAGAATTTTTAGGAGCTTTATAAATTCTCCAGCTGGAATTTCTAGCAGTTCTGACAATCACAAGGGGTTCAAATGATGAGAATGTGGAAGGAGAATGACTCCAGGTAGTCGTCAATTTTTTTTCGAAGGTTAAAATGTATCGAGCATTATCTAGGAGGCTTTGAAATTGACTATATATATTATATAACTATATGTATATATTAACGTTCAGCTGACCGGTCGCAACTTCAGTTACATAATAAACCTTTGTATTTTGAATTTTCACGAGAGGTAGATTTATATTCATGAAAAACTTTACATAAGTAATAATGTATATTTTACAATTGAGTTATAGCAATATCATGGCAAACTGGCCTCCGTAGCTCAATATTTGGTTTATCGGCCACGGGGTCAGACAACAAAGTTCACGAACTTTTGACGTACGTGCTTTGCCTGGTAATGGTGTGCGTAGTGCAAGGGCTGTCATAAGTTGAATTTAATCGTATAACGGAACTGCGGGGTACGTTATTGTTACCATTTTCCATGTGAGCTCCATCTGCGGCATTGTAGCCTCTGCCTCGCCTTTGAAAGCGGCAAGAAAAAAGCTCCCTCATTGCCTTTCGAAAATTTCGTGACAAAAAGGCATAAAGGAGAGGATTTAAGCAAGAATTCATGTATGATATAAGAGCTGTGGAAACTGTTAATATCGTGCTGAAATCTGAATTTTGGTTGTAATTTGAACCCCAGTGAAGCCATAGAATTCGGACTTGTTGAGGAAGATTGCACATCGAGAACATAATTACCACTGCAATGAGCATCCTGTAAGTGTGTTAAACAAATTGCTCTTTAATTCATTTAATTATGAGTTTATAAATTTTGGAAAAATCCATAATAGTGCCTACTTAAAGCACACATTTCATGATAAAATTTATTCATTAAATGAATTAAAAATTTTATGTAACAAACATTTTCTATTGAAAAATTTATATTTTCAAATAAAATTATTCATCAATTGTTAATTCAAAAAATTCTGGTTTTATTGGTAAATTAATTTACACAATACTATTTCAAATTAATCTTTACGTTATAAATGTAAGTACGAATTCTCAATATTTTTATTACTTTTTAAAATCAATATTTTTCGAAAACTAAATTATTAAGCGCAAAATACTGAGGTATGCATAACTGTCGCCTTAAATTGAAAACTCGTTGATTTCAAAATTTAATTAATTTTTAAATTAATTAATTTAAACAAAATTTCTTTTACAAACATAGTTGTGTTATTACATTTACATTCGAAGAACATAATCAATTCGACTAATTTTTATTCTATTCAATTCGTAGAATTAATGCCTAGATCTGATTCAAAAATCTAGCTCAATTATTATTCGTATAATCAAAAATAAATAATTTCTATGATTATTTCCACATAATTTTTACTTGTGAAACAGCCATATGTAATTTTTCGTAAACAGAGTTTTTATCAAGTCTATGTGGGTATACATGTCTATGACATTTGTAATAATAAACTTGTCACAATGCATGAGGGTATTTAACTCACCAGAAAATTCTTATTCACGGAAAAATTTAAATAAACATCAAAAGTGAATTGTAAAGAAATTTAATTACTTAAAATTAACTCATCATTAAAAGTAGTTTTTTTTTATTTTTTGTTTTTGCAGATTACATAATTTTATTCGAATTAACGTTTACTTTAAAATCACTGAGAAATAAAAAATAATACCCAGATTTTGAATGTAAAGTTGTATGTATGAGCAACAATTTAAATAATTTAGATATGACTTGAGCGCTTAAAGCATGCGTATTTAGATTTACCAAACTTTTCTTTTTTTATTATGAACTTGTAAAAAGTTTTATGAAGAAATCTTTTCATAGAAACATCCATTATGAATTATTTATTATAAGCGTAATTGACAAGTTAAAGTTTAAATAGTTTGAGTTATAGAATTTTTGAAGGTTATCATCTAAGTGAGGTTTATTCATGTGGTGTAGGGATTGTTATTTCAAAAATGAGACGCTTTCTTATTGTATCGATCGCTTTTAAATTTTGGGTATATATTTATATGTTTAGTTTCCATTTGATTTTACTTAATTTTTTTTTCATTACATTTGATTTAATCGCTCATTTTATCAATACTTTGTACTAAGTTATGGTCGTCAAAATGATATTTTAAGTTACCGAAGACTATATAACACATAAATTATTTATATCAGTTGTAGCGAGATTATATTTTTTCCATGCAAAATTAAAAAAAACAAATTGTTTATTTACCTTATGACACCTCGACGCGCACGAAGAACATTTCTATTAGATTCATTCGTATGGTGAAGTCTTATATTTCTCGGTCTGGTTATTAGATCAGGGCCGCTTAAAGTTCGTCCGCTTTTCCACAGCCTGATTCCAATTCTGGTGTACAGATAGCTCATCAAAAACAAGGGTACAATATAAAGTAAAATTAAATTGACAGTGTCAAGAGCATTTTTACTGTGTTTTTTCATGTTTGGAATACAAATTATATCGAGAGCTCCATTCATAAGTTTATTTTCAATTGTTTCTGCGTATATAAATTTTGGCAAAGCATAAATAGCAGCTAAAATCCATCCAATTACGACTATTACTCTCAGACGACTTCTTGTCAGCAAGGATCTACACTTTATCGGATGAATGATTGCAAGGTATCTCTCCACGCATACTAATACTAGGATCATGATACTTGCTGTGTATGAGAGTGCATGAACAAACGTGTAGACTTTACAGAGGAAGAGGCCAAGAAGCCAGCTGTTCATGAGGTAATTAATCAGGGTTTGATAGACGCAGAATATTCCGACGCAAAGATCTGCTACAGCTAAATTTGCCAGAAAAAAGTTTGTTATGCCGCGCATTCTTCGTGAATACATGACGACTAGAATGACTAGAAGATTTCCTGAAACACAAAAATTATTAAAAGTAATTATTAATAATAAACCTTCTTTGTAAAATTATATTTTTTGATTTTTAATGTAATTATAGTTAATAAAATAAATGTAATTCACAGTAAAAATTAAATATTTTATTCGAGTTATTTAATTTAATTTTTAAATTTGTTCTCAATGACGAGCATTGTAATATATACTAATACAAATATTAAGATTTGACCAATAAACTATCATCATCAGGAAGAAAGGTGAAATAGTTATTTTTGATCTACACTAATAAAGTAGTTATGAGAGATTTTGAAAGGTTTGAATCGATGATAAAAACTTAGTATTATGACACATTAATTGTTGTCAACTCAAGTTTATAATAGTAAAATTTATAAATTCCCCACTTAATACATAACAAATCAATTTTAACTTTTTTGTAATGCTAATTCAAAAAGTTTGGAAGGATAAATTGCGATACCAGGTCGAAAAATTCATACCTACCAGTCTTTATCTAGATTTTTCTGATTTCTGATTAATTTTCCTAATTATTGAGGAGCCAAAACGAGTAATAATGTCAGAAATTGCGAAACCAGATTGAAATAATCTCAACCACAGTTCTTTTTTTAGGTTTTTTTTTGTTCTGTATGAATTTTTTTAACGTATGATGCCTCTCAAAACAGTATTCATGCTGTCCACAGCAATATTACACAATATAAAAAAAAATTTTA